TTGAATAAGATTTATTGGTTAACTACAAACCAAGTTATGCTAGAAATTGAGAACACAAAAAAAATTCTTAAAATAGAATTCCAAAATTAATGTGGTTTTTAAAGTTGGTAAAGATTGATAAATCAAAGAATGTTGGTCTTTCTATTACATTTTTACATGATATGATAGACATCCTCATAGATTGTTTTTCAACATTTAAAAATTTAATTTTTTTGTCAGAATATAAAATAAATGGAGAAAAATACTAAATTTATGTTTATAACTTAACGTTATTAAAAGAAAACGAATTTGAGACCAATTCCATATAAATCAAACTTTTAGCTTTTGTATTTCTCGTTCATTCAGATTATAGTTAAATTGGAAAAAAGTATAGTTGAAAATGATTTCAAACCAACCAAAATAACATTTTTTCAAGAACACACAAACTCATCTTCTATAATTGACCTCGCCTTGTCTACTATGGAGTAGTACCCTCTTTGAGAATATTGAATGGGATGCTGAAGAAGATCTTCATGGCAGTGATCATTTCCCAATAATACTAACAATTAAAAATAAATCTTCAACAAACAAAGAGAAAGATTAAATTATAATAAAACTGATTGGCTTAAATTAAAAAATATGACAGAAAAGACAGGAAAAGAATTTGAGAATAGATGACTACTCAATGGACAGATGGATAGCCACCATAACAACAATAATAAAACAAACAACCCCGGTTATACAAAAAAAAAGTCCAAGATAATAAATCTTTGTCTTAATGATAAATGCAGAGATGCAAAGTAAAACGCATTCAAAATATTTAAAAACTTCATCAATTATAAAAAATTAAAAGCTGAAGCTCGCAAAACCGTAAAAGAAGAAAAGAGGCTCTGTGGGATTTTTTCATCAATTATCTTAATAGATGAATTAATAAAGTCTGGGAAATGATCAAGAAAATGAAAAATAAAAATAATGATAATAAAATCAGCCAAATAATTTTAAATAGCAAATTATACAGTTCTGATGAGTAGATTTCAAATATATTAGCAAACAACTTCTACCAAAACTCAAAAATCCAAAATATGACCTTTGCAATCATTAAAACCAGAGAAGAAAAAAATATATTAGATTTCAACTCAAAAGAACAAGGTTAACATAACACAAGGTTAACGCTATCACCATGCGAGAAATTCTATTTGAAATTAATGACAGTAAAGAGTCAGCTTCTGGACCTGATCATATCACTTACAAAATGCTGAAAAATCTCTCCCAAAATATGTGCTTTTAAAAATCTATAATTATATGTGGTTCAACACAAAAGTTACAAATTGATGGTTGCAAGCAATAATCATACCTATTAATAAGCCTCAAAAAAAACAAGAACAATCCAGAAAATTACAGACCAATCTCTTTGACCTGCTGTACCTGCAAGATCATGGAGAAAATAGTAAATAATAGATTGAACTGGTATCTTAAAGCAAATGGAATATTATCAAATTTTTACTGGTGGCATCTAGGGATCCACATCAGATAATTTAGTTACTTTAGAAACTTATATAAGAAAATCATTAATTCAAAGTGAACAAGTGATTACATTGTTTTTGGACATCGAGAAAGCATTTGACACAGCATGGAAATATGGCGTCTGTAAAATATTGCACGAAATTGAATTAAAAGGACGCTTGCCCAAATTCATCCTAAGTTTTTTTTTTCAAACAGGTCATTTAAAGTAAAGATTAATAATGTCCTTTCAGAAACGATGTACCCGGAACTAGACATACCTCAAGGCAGAGGTATAAACTTAGATAATATTCTTTGTCTAAACTTAGTTAATATTCTTAAATTATTTCCTAAAAATGCAATAGTTTGTCTCACAATCATTTTCAAAAACAAAAACCTTAACAAAATGCAAGATGAAATAAACAAACCTATAAAATCCATTGAACATTGGGGCTTGGAAAATGGAATAAAATTCTCAAAATCAAAATCTAGGGCCATGCTATTCTCAAGAAAAACAAAAAAGATTATCCCTAAATTAAGTTTTCAAGATAATATTATGGAATTTTCACGGAAGTACAAACATCTAGGAATAAAAAGAAAATGCTTCAGGGCACTTAATTTAATTAAAGTTCTATCTTATTCCACTTTGGGAGCCGACCAAAAACATTTATACATCAATGACATACCTTCTAGATTCTGCTTCAATATACACTGCAAAGATATTTGCCATAGATATGGCGTTAAAATTTATCACGCAATCGACTGAAAGAGAGTTCATAATATTCTCGGATTCCTTGTCTTTTCTTTCTGTTCTAAGTCAATACAAACTTCAGTATCAATTAATAATACAAATGCAAAACCATATCCATAACATCTTGAACAATAACAATAAATTGATTATAATGTGGGTCCCCAGTCACATTGGAATTAAAGTGTGTGAAACGAAGAGGTAGATCAGATAGCGTTACAAGTTCATTCAATTCCGATTTCATGTCTTCCAATTCCAGCCACTGATTTGAAGCATTTAATAAATAACATTATTAACGAAAATGGCAACAAGGGTTGAACATAATCTCAAATTTTTTAAAGTTGAGTACACCGACAGTAAATAACAGAACAATTAAAAATACATTTAAATCGCCATATGCAAACAAAAATCAATAGATTAAAAATAGGCCATTCAGCAGTCAACCATGGATCCTCAAAAAACAAACCCTCCTTTTTGTGAAATCAATCCACTCTTCAATACTAATAGAGTGCAAAAGATACGTTGAGATTAGAAATAAACATGGAGTGCCATTATTTGTGGAGTCGATGTTCCAAAGTAGGAATCTGGAAGTTTTGATCTCGTTTCTGAAGGAGATCGATATGTTAAACAAGATTTAAAGAGTTGAGAAGCGCCAAATACATATAGTCACAAAACCAGTACTGTGATGACCCCAGGGCGTAAAGATCCGTTAAAACGCCGTTAAACTGCAAAACAAAGATTAAAAAAGTTTGTATAGGTGTTGTATTCTAATAGACTGACATCTTGGTTTTTATATTTGACTTTTCTTCGGCTCTTCCCTTCATTAATCCATCAAAAGTTATTTTAAAAGTTATACAACTTAGCATTTTTGTATTCTAAAGTTGTAATCTGATCTACCTCTTCGTTTCCTTTAATTCCAATGTGACTGGGGACCCACATTATAGTAGCTGTCTGTACGCTATTAATAGATTTATATTGTATGATTCTGAACTTTATTTAAATTTATGTAATATTTATGTAAATTAATGTTTCCAGAATTAAAACATTTTTTTAGGTAATATTATTTTTAACTTGTGGTTTTTCAAAAAAGCTATTAAATAGATTAGAGTAAAACTGTTTAAATATTCGTTTCTTTTAGTGCCAAACTGCTTATATTTTGAAATGGTCAATTCCATTTTTTTTTTAAATCATATATCAACTATACATACATACATAACTAGAATCAGCAGTAAAAGATCAGAATTTGATTCGAAGTTGCAGTGATAACAGTCTCTTAATTGCCAACGTAAATTTTTGTGGTTAGTTTGACTGATATTTTTTATTAATTTTGAATTGTTTGTACAAATTTTTATAAAATCAGGTAGAATAAAATCAATTTTCGCCAAACCCGGGTTTAATTCTGTAAAAAGGTTTTTTTGATTAAGATGGGTAATATATTTTTAGTATATGTTTAAAATGCTACCGAAATCGCTTTTGGTAAAACAAAGCTTTTTAACATTTTAATAATTAGCTTAGTACAAAGTTGTATCAAACGAAAATAATTTTAAGTTGTTGTTGTTTGGTTTTGTGACCAACCTAAATTATAGTCAAATCATTACGCAGCATTTTATGTAGTGCTTGTTTGATGTATATTGCAATCATGAACATCAACGTCGAACTTGTTCCTCCAATCTTGACTGATAAAGCTTTTTAGCTGCCGGCCTGCCTGCCAAGACCAAAGTTTATTTCTGTCAAATAAGCAACAATATTGTTAATATTCTTTCATCAATCTTTAAACTGCAGGTTTCACAGTATTTTATAAAGTGCTTGCTTGATGTAAATTGCAATCATGAACATCAGCGTCGAATAAGCAACAATATTGTTAATTTTCTTACATCGATCCCTAAACTGCAGGTTTCACAGTATATTAGCCAGTTGATGATACTGACAATTGAATAGTATAAACGCAGTAGCCGTTGTTAGAATTAATGTAACTTTTGACACTGTCGCTTATGACACTGATATTGATTGTTGTTTTACTGGTGAATCAATGGTGTAAAGTTCGGTATATATATACAGCAGTACTTGCAACTTGTATATTGTTATATATATATATTAATATATATTGAGTTTAGAATATCATAAATACAATTATTTATAAAGATCACTTCTAGTTAATAAACAATAAACTCAGCTACAAGTTGAACAATGTCGAAAATATTAAAAAAAATATTATTGAAATATTAAAAAATATAAAAAAATATAAATAATTGTAATATATATATATATAAATAATATTTGATACAATCAGAATTTTTAGTGATACATAAATATATAAATAATATATATAAATATATATAAATAAAAATAATAAAAAATGTTTGATAAAATCGACCGAATTTTTAGTTTTGAAAGTTTACGATTGATCTTTTCAATATTTCTAACAATAATTCTATAATTATTATCCAATTTATCAAAATTAATATAAAAGTCGTTTGTGTTCATGATGAAGCGTATAGGCCATATTTCTATTATATATATATATATAAATATATATATATATATATAATATATATATATATATATATATAACATAAAGCATATACATATATTATATATATGTAAATTATATTTCATATAATTATCTATGTATTTCTATTCTGTGTTTGTAAATTATGTTTCATTACTTTGGTATTGTTAGCTTTGTAAACGATCCTGGAATTTAATTTTTCTACTTAGATTAATAAATCAGGTTATTCGAAAGCCAACTTATAAATTAAATTACAAAAAGAAGATGGCTTCAAAAACAAGTAAGTTGTATTTTCATATTATTAAAAGAAATAATGACGACTTTAAATTAGCGGGCATATCGGAAAATAAAGAAACATGGTATGTCCTACCTGAAGAGAAGAATGATTTAAGTTTGCACGAAGCTCTATCTACGAAGCGAGCAATAATCAATATAATTAATTCTATCAAACCTATCAACGATTATCGCACAATTTGCATCAAACTCAATGAAGAATTGAGAAAAGAATATTACGACGAAGACGAAAATCTATGTTTTTTAGATAATATGTTAGAAGAAAAAATTATTGATAAACATGAATCAGATGACAATTTTTTAAATGAACGAATTAAGGAATTAGAAGCTAAGCTAAGTCTGAATGATAACTTTAAGCTGCAAGACGTTGAAAAAAAATTTATTCTGGAAAAATTCAACAAAAAGCAAAACCCTTCTGAATGGATAGAGAAATTTGAAAATGAATGTAGAAGGCATAAAATTCTAAATCCTACTAATGTCATAGAAGCATTACGCTTCTTTTTATCTTGGTCACCGAAAGATTGGTACGAATCAAATTTAAAAAAGATTGGCTTAACTAATTGGTTAGGATGGAGAAAGTCCTTTCTGACCATTTTTGCAGATAGAGGTTGGAAAAAAATAAGAACCGCATATAATTACAAATATTTAGGTGGTTCTTTAATAGACTACGCCTTAGCGAAGGAAAACCTATGTTTAGAAATTGAAATTGAAATGTCGAGAATAAACATGATCGTTATGGGCCTTCCTGTAGAAATACAAAACCAGCTTGATAGAGAAGAAATAACGACCATTGAGAAACTGTTCAAAGGACTAACAAAAATTGATGAATGCGTTTCTAACATCAAGCCGAAATATGACAATAAATTTTTAAGTAATGAAATACCATACAATACGGATGTCAAGAAAAAGCAACTTTATCAACACAAACAGAAATATGAAAATGTAGACAAAGAAATTTTGGTACCAAAATACAAAGTAAAAGCAAAGACAAATGATACTCTAAATAAACAAAATCAAAGATATGAAAATAACACTCTAAATAAAGAAAATTTTGTTAGACCAAATTTTATCAGGTCAGAGAAGAATATTAATACCACAGCAAATAAACCATGTTTTATGTGTGAAGAATTGGGCTGGAAAAATCGATATCATCCAACAAATGAATGTAGAAATAAGACTCTTTACTCATCAAAAAGCGAAATTAATATTCATGATACTAACTACCAAACAGATGACGAAGCACATATGATGAAAATTGAAATTGACAAGAAATCTTTAAACTAGAAAGCCCGGGAAAATTGAATGCACTGATAAGAGTAAACTTAATAATCGATCATAAATTAAAAGTTAAAGCGGTTTATGATAGTGGATCAAATATAACTCTAATAAATAGGAAAATCATAGATATTTTAAAACTAGGCTTAATGAATAATAGAAGTATTTTCAAAACCATCAGTGGGTTCAATTTTAGTTCGGCCCGGGCAAATATAGTTGTTAAGGTTGGTAATTTAACGGATAATTTAAACATACGTAGTCAAAAATATCAATTTTTCCTATGACCTATTATTGTCCTATGGGTCTAGATGCAATAAAAAAGTTCAAACTAATTCAAGATGAAAATTTTAACATTCTACAAAGAATTAATAAAAGCAAGATCATCAAAATAGAAGAAAGAGATAAGATGAATAACAATCACAACATGGTTAAATCAGATGAACTGACTGACAACCAATTTAATCTACAAAAGGCAGAAAAAAATAATTTAATTAAAATTTCAGAAGTCAATTTTAGCGAAAATATGGATAATACAATTTGTGAAAATTTAGACCACATTGAAGATGAAAATAGGAGAAAAGATATTTTAAATTTAATAAACAAGTACAAACATATGTTTGAAAAAGATAAATATGATGTAGGAAAAGTGAAGTCTAAAGAAGCTGAAATAAAATTAACCTGAGATGAATATTTAACAGCAAGACCATATAAATGTTCCTTAGTTTGATGAAGAGGAAATCAAGACCCAAGTCAAGAAGTTATTAGAAGCTGATTTAATTGAAGAATCGGATTCCTCGCCTGTAACTCTTGCTTTAAAAAAGATGATGGTCGTCGGACAAGACTTTGCATTGATTTCAGACGATTAAATAAATTAGTAGTTCATGAATGCTATCCATTCCCTAATGATGTCATAGATAAAGTATCAAATTGCAAATATTTCACTGTACTTGATATAAATTCTGCATTTTGGTGTATATTATTAAAAAAGGAAGATAGAGAAAAAACTTCATATAAGTATGGAAAATTCATGTTTAAGGTTTACCCTTTGGTCTTAAAAATTCTCCAGCAATTTTTCAACGTATTCTATCCAATATCATAAAAAGAAATAATCTGGACAATTTTTGCATTAACTATATCGATGACATATTTATATTTTCACGCTCTTGGGAAGAACACATTATTCATATTGAAAAAATTCTACAAATTATCACAGAAGAAGGTTTTAAATTAAAATTAGAAAAATGTAAGTTCGCTGCTAAAACCATTAAATATCTTGGACATTTTATTCAAGAAAATAAAGTAGCAAGAAAATTTAATCGCCATCAAGAATCTTAAGAGACCAACAGATAAAACAGGAGTTAGAAGTGTGTTAGGATCTATTAACATCGAAATACATCGAAAATAGTGCTCAAAAATTTTAACCACTGCATAAGCTTTTGAAAAAAAATGTTAAGTTTCATTGGTGAAGATTGTGAAGATTCTTTCAACTTGATATAAGAATATTTATGTTCTCAGCCAATCTTAGCCATTTACCTTAAAGCCAAAGACACTTATATTGAAACTGATGCCAGTTATAAAGGAATTGGAGCTACTTTGAAATAACTACATCCTGATGGTATGTTACATCCTGATGGTATGTTACATCCTGTCGCATACTTCTCAAGAAAATTATTAAAAAAAGAAAAGAAAATGGACATTATCCATCTTGAATGCAAAGCTATCAAAGACGCAATAAAATGCTGGCAATATTATTTGATTGGTCGTGAATTTGTTGTTTGTAGTGACCACAAACCTCTAGAGAATCTAAAAACTAAAAGTAGAACAGATAAAATATTGGGCGATTTAGTGCACTATTTGTCTTAATTCAACTTTAAAATTATTTATAAGAAAGGAAAGGAAAATATAATGGCTGATTTACTTTCTCGATCACCAGTATTGGAATATTTTGAAAATGAGGATGCAGTCCAAGTAGTAAATTTAATTGAAAGACCTAAAATTCTTCAGGATCAAAATGATAACATGACTGAATTAAAGAGTGCCAAGAAGATTGAAAAACGCCTTGGTTTTATTTACAAAAAATTGAAGTACAAATCAAGGATATTTGTTTCTGATAAATTTGGTTTAAGAATAATAAAAAAGGTACATGAATATTATGGACATATCTGAGCTGGAACATTGAAAGAGAAAATAAGACCATTTTATTATTTCAAAAACTTTGATCAACTAATTGAAGAATTTTGTAAAAGTTGCACTATATGCTTAGAAAACAAAACTAGAAGAAATAGAATCATCGGATTAATGTCAAAATTAGGACCCGCGACAGAACCATTCCAAATTATGTTCATTGACACAGTTGGTGGATTTGCCGGTAATATGTCACCAAAGAAATATATGCATATTTTGGTAGATCATTTTAGTAGATATGCTTGGATCTCCACTACAAAAAGCCAATGCGCAGCAGATTTCATAAAGTTAATTGACCCGATTGCTAAGAAAAATAATATTAAAATACTTTTAGCCGACCACCGGAATTAATTCTACAGAACTAAAGCAGTATCTAAACAAATAATCAAGTGGTTTTTAAATGCGTAGATTGCCCTCAATCAAATGGACTAAATGAAAGACTTGTAAACAGAATAAGATGTAAACTTAACAGTGGAGAAAAACAGGCATGGTCCGTTATTGCAGACGAATGTGTCAAAGAATACAATCGGACAATTCATAGTTCCACGAAATTTGAACCGGAATACTTATTATACGGCATAGTCAACTATGGAGTATGACATAAAGCATAAAGTCATATGGAGTATATGACTTACCGAAAAGCGATTTAACTGCAGATAGAATATAAGCCAGTCGAAATTCTATGCAAAATTTTGAAATAAACAAGAAAAGGGTTGACAAAAATCGTCAAGAGTACGAATTTGAAGTGGGCAATCAAGTCTATATCCAGAATGGGAGTAAAATGGACAGAATAAGAGTTGGTCCGTTTAAAATTCTTAGCAAGATTTCACCGCCGATCTTGGAAGTAGAAGAAGAAGAAATCATTTTTTTCACATTAATAAATTGTCGCTTTATGTACCTCAAAAAGTGACTTGAGGGAGAGAGATGGAAATTATAATTCATATAATTATTTATGTATTTCTATTCTGTGCTTGTAAATTATGTTTCATTACTTTCATTACTTATATAGAAATGCAAATAGCACGTGGTTATATTTTATTATTATTGGCTTTGTAATCGATCCTGGATTTTAATTTTTCTTCTTAGATTAATAAATCAGGTTATTCGAAAGCGAACTTGTATATGTATAAATATTGTATATATATGTTGGTAGAAGACCGAATTCTTGACAATATGTAATAAATTCCACCGTAAATTCCACTGTTTATCAACTTGTAACTTGTATTCAAATTTTTTAATTTGTCTTGGTAAATTTTTATCTAAGACAATAAGTCCGTTTAAAATTGAATCTTTATTTTTATTAACAAACATTTAATAAAAATTATTGTAGATAGATCGTCAGTGCATTATTTATAAATTTATTAATTAGCTATTAATTAATTATGAGTCGCGAAATTAATTGTTTTTATTATTATTATCTTTATCATTATTATTATTATTATAGTTTTTATTACTATTATCGTTGTTGTTGTGAATGGAATTATTGTTGAATGTGTTGTTATTATAATTATTGTTATTATCATCATTGTTAGATTGCTGGTTGATCCGATTAACGTTATCGTTGTTCATTCTTCGAGTTAGAAGTATTGTTGTGATTCGTTGTTGGAGGT